AACTCAGGCCACCCAAGTGACCTGTTGAACCCTCAAACTCTTGCTTATTCAAACACAGAAGTTTTGTAGGGTCTTTGTGGCGATCTCCTTCCCACCTTCTGGTAGTCTTCAAATGGTTCTGTCCCTAATTTGTTTCTGTTTTCCTGGAAGGCCATGCTCACCAAGTATAAATTAAAGCACTTCCCATTTCACATCTGGAAACGTGATAGGGAATGTTGGGTTCTGAGCAGCGAGCAGAGATAACTGCGGTCTGTGATGTCTGCTGAGGCTCAACGTGCTGACACAGCCTCAGGGAACTCTGGAAATACAAAGAACTTGTCCTGCCATCACAATGGACTTTTCGGGAAGTTTCTCAGCATTGGTTGATGGTGTCTCTTTCCAGGTTAGCCTTTCAGCTGTGACCCCAAGAGACAGCTTATCAAAATAATACCTACTTGTAACCTCTGCCCCGGGTTTGTCTTTGCTCCTTTGTATCGCTTTCTGTACCATTTTGCTTTCTCTTCACTGTCTCTACATAAGTAGGTCCATTTCACTCAGTTTCCAATGTCCCAACCCTAGTCAAAGCCAGCATCATCACTTGCCCGGGTTTTGCAACAGCCATCTTTAAAACCATACCAGACCACATCAAACCCTGATTATAACCCTCCCTTGGATTCACATTCCCCTGGACACACTGTGGAAAGTCCTTGCCAGACCTCATAATATCCACCTAATCTGGCTCTGCCTAGGTCTTGGGCTTCATCTCCTGCCATCCTCTCATTCCCTCTCTTCCTTCCAGATACACCAGACTCCCTCTCTCCCTCTCACACAGCCAGCTCGTTCCCACACCAACACATCTGTTCAAGCTTCCTGCACTCTCTTTCTTCAGATCAGCTTATGGCTGCTTTCTTCATGGGATTCAGGTCTTGGCTCCAAGGCCATCTCATCAGTTAGGTTTTCCAGTCACCCTCTGATTGCTCTCCTGTGAAATCCAGTGTCCTCTTTTCTTCATGGAATTTTATCTATCTGAACTTATCTTGTTCATTGGTCCTCTATTATCAGTCTTCTCCACTAGAATATAAACTCCACTAGAACACTCTGAGGATCCTGCCATAGTCACCTCTCCATCCCCAGGGCATATCATGTGCAGCCACTACCACTTGTCCAACAGAACTTTCTCCTCAAGACTGCCAGAGCTTTGAATTTATTGCAGTGCCCTCTCTTCCTTCTGAATGAGGTGAATAAATCTTGAATGGAATTCACTAGCCATGTTGTGCCCATTGTTCTGGTCATTATCTGGTGCAAGAACAGACATGTTACCTCGGTCTGGCCAATCTGCTAAGGGGCTTCTAAAAAGGAGGTCATTAAAAAACTAAACAAAACAAAAAACCCAGATGTGGAAGAAATGATCTTTTATCTACCACTGGACTTGGCAAGTGTATGTGTGATACTTTAAACATCAGTAGCCAACATGTGACCCAGAAAAAAAATCATATTGAGAATAGAAGAATGGAGTGAAGGAACAAACTAGGGTCTTAGATGATGTAGTTGAGGCTCTAGACTTCTTGTTATGTGAAAAAAAAATACACCCTCTTTTATTCCTACTGAAATCAAACATTAAAAGAGATGTCCTTCTCAACCTCTTTTCTGTCTTTTACTCTGTCCTGTATTTTGTGTTTACTTTTCTCATGCATGGATACGTATTTAGCCTAAATAAGATATAAAATCTTTTTGTGTCTTTCAAAATTTTTTGTAAGGGTATCATATGTAAATAGCTTTGTTACCTTGCTTTTTAAAAAAACTCATAATTATGCCTTTGAGTTGCATATATTATAGATCCATGTAACTCCAGATTATTTATTTTCACTGTGTATTATATGGCAGAGATACCACACCTTATTCCTTCTTTCTTGTTGTTTCCACTTTCTTGCGATAATAAACAAAGTCTCCTTTCTCACATATCTAAGAATTTGTCTATGACAGTGTTTTTCAAATATATTTGACCATGATCCACAAAAATCAACACATTTTAAAATAAGCTTTCATATTCTTACATACACATATATAGTTAGAAGAAAATTTACAAAACAATAATTATTCTTAATACATGTGATGCAGTATTCCTATTGCTATTCTATTCCATTAAAATTTTTTAATGCCCAGCCAGTGTGGCTCAGCGATTGAGTGTTGACCCAGAAACGATTAAGAGGTTACCGGTTTGATTCCTGGTCAGGGCACATTTCTGTGTTGTGAGCTTGGTCCCCAGTGTGGGGTGTACAGGAGGCAGCTGATCAATGATGTTCCTCTCTAACCGATGTTTCTATCTCTCTATCCTTCTTCTTTCCTCTCACTGTTAACATCAATAAAAAACATATTTAAAATGATTTCATGACTGAGTAATATGTCAAAGTTGTAAGAATGTAGTAGTTAAAACACGAGTATATACCTAGAAGTATAATTGCTTCCTTAAAAAATTGGTGTGTCCTGTTAGAATGCTATCATCAACAAATCAACAAATGACAAGTGCTGGTGAGGATATGGAGAAAAGGAACCCCTGGGCACTGCTGGTGGGAATGTAGATGGTGCAGCCTCTGTGAAAAACAGTTTGAAGTTTCCTCAAAAAATAAAAAGTGGAACTCCCATTTGACCCAGTGATCCCACTTCTAAGAATACATCCCAAGAAATCAGAAACACCAATAAAAAGGATATATGTACTCCTATGTTCATAGCAGCACAATTTACCATGGCTAAGATTTGGAAACAGCCTAAGTGCCCATCAGCAGATGAATGGATTAAAAAACTGTGGTACAGCTACACAATGGAATACTACACTGCTGTAAAAAAGAAAGAACTCTTACCATTTGCAACAGCATGGATGGACCTAGAGAGCATTATGCTAAGTGAAATAAGCCAGTCAGAGAAAGATAAATATCACATGATCTCATTCATATGTGGAATCTAATGAACAACATAA